TCATCAACAGGGCGACAATAGCGCGGAGACAGAAGCACGCTGTAAACCCTAAACCTAAAATTAACCCCTAACCCTAACCCTAAACCTAATCCTAAACCTAACCCTTAACCTAACCCTAACCCTAATCCTAACCCTTAACCTAACTCTAACTCTAAACCTAACCCTAAACCTAAACCTAACCCTAAACCTAACCCTTACCTTAAGTTGAATCGGCTTGCTTTCAAAGTGCTATTTAAAGCGCCCTTCTTCTTTCTCTGCGCTGGCTGTTGTCGCCCTGTTGATGATGTCAGCGACGCGGTTTAATCGGGCGCGGTTTAGTCAAGCGTGGTTTTGACGGGTCACGGTGTGTGTGTGTGTGTGTGTGAGGACTGTGAGCAGTGCATTGAGAGGAACAATATAAGCTCTGTTATCATTCAATTGACAGAAATTGTTTCTGTGGTAGTTGGCCTGGAAGAGTTGTTTGTGCATAGCAGAAATCTAGCTATTTCTATATTGTGTTTTTCATTCTTTTCTTTCTTTTTGCCACTACAGCTGGTTCCAGAACATGTTGTAATGACCAAAGAAGAGGTGACAGAATTACTGGCCAGATAGTATCTTTTTGCCTCTGTACTTACTGTCTTGAGTATCTTCCTCAGTTTTCTGCTTGTTCTGAATTGGGTCGCTATTGTCTTTCAGATATCAGACAGAGGCTGAATTTTCTAGCATTATCCTGTGTTAAGAGGAAACTTTCCAGGCTAATACTGTGTTTCCCCCAAAATAAGACTTATATGAATTTCTGCTACAAAAGATGTATTAGGGCTTATTTTCTGATTAAGTCTTATTTTCAGGGAAATACAGTACTAAATAGATCCATCTGGCTGAAAATCTTAACCGGGGTTTATTTGGGGATAGGGCTTATATTACGAGCACCCTGAAAAATCATGCTAGGACTTATTTTCTGGTTAGATGTTATTTTTTGGGGAAACGGGGTATGTCTAGGTAGGATTTTAACATGAATATGGGGTTAAAAGGATAGTGTTATCTTCTTGAATTTGGGTTTGGATAGGGCCTATAAAACCTGAAGCATAACAGGCGGATGAGTAAACCCAATGTATGAGTAATCATACATTCTATTGTCTGAAAACAGTTCCATTGACATGCATTGGTTTTCATGGTTCAGATTGTAAACCTAAGTTTACAAAATGCATTTCACACAACACACCAAGTGCAAATTAATCACATTGCTTAAAGTGAAGCTTTGATTCAATCATGATGCTAAAACAGGCTGTGGGTTTCTATGTTCCTCCAAACCACAAATTCCTGTACCAACTTTATTTAGCTTAAGCTAGCAAGTTGTGTGAAACTAGCCAAAATATACTGTGATCCCAGTATAGGAAATTTTAAAAAGGTCTTGTTTTTATATGTTTTGAATTTTTTCCTTTAACTGCCGTTATCAGTAAATTAAGGGAGAATCAGCTTCCAAGAATACAAGCTGGAGATCCTGTAGCTCGCTATTTTGGAATTAAAAGAGGCCAGGTAAGGAACAGAGAAAGGGGGGGGCGGTTGAGAATGTGTCATTTCCCAATGGATTTGATAAATTCAGTATATGGAGGTGATAAGTGGCAATACATTCTGATATCTAAATAGGAGCTCAGGAAGCCTTATGATGAGAGGGGGGAGGGAGGGGGGAGAGAGGCATCTACTTGGATTAAATGGTCTTTTAGTACAGTTCACATGGGCTTTTGTTAGATCAACACCCCCCCCCCCCGAATGCTCCTTTAAATCCATACAGGTAATCCTTGACTTGCAACTACAATTGAGCCTAATTTTTCTGTGGATAAGTGATATATTTGTTAAGTGTGTTTTGTTTCATTTTACAACCTGAGTGAATCACTGCAGTTGATAAGTTAGTAACACAGTTGTTAAATGAATCAGGCTTCCCCATTGATTTTAGCAATAGCAATAGCAGTTAGACTTATATACCGCTTCATAGGGCTTTCAGCCCTCTCTAAGCAGTTTACAGAGTCAGCATATCACCCCCACAGTCTGGGTCCTCATTTCACCCACCTCGGAAGGATGGAAGGCTGAGTCAACCTTGAGCCGGTGAGATTAGAACCGCTGAACTGCAGATAACAGTCAGCTGAAGAGGCCTGCAGTACTGCACCCTAACCACTGTGCCACCTCGTCTCTTTTGCTTGACAGAAGATTGCAAAAGATGATCACTTGATTTTGGGACATAGCAATGGTCATAAATATGAATCAATTGCAAAAAATAATAATCTCAATTTTGATCATGTGACCATGGAGATGCTGCAAAGGTCGTAACTGTGAAAAACAGTCGTAAGTCACTTTCTCAGTGCTGTTGTAACTTTGAATGGCCACCAAATGAACTGTTGTAAGTTGAGGACTTCCTGCAGCTGGCAAATATTACCTACACACTCCTTCCTCTTTCTATTTTCCCCACAACAACAACCCTGTGAGGTATGTTGGGTAGAGAGTGACAGGCCCAAAGTTGCCAAATCCAGGATACTTGGGAGGGGTCAGGTTGGGTGAAGGCTGAACTTGTTTGATCAGTATAACAGATTGCATGATGAAATCCTGAAAGGCAGGGTGTCCCATCAGCCATTTTACAAGGATTCATTGTATATTCAATCTGAAAAATAATCTGAATAATTTTCTTTCTCTATTGTCCGTGTGGTTTCTTCAGGTGGTGAAGATCATTCGGCCTAGTGAAACAGCGGGGCGTTATATCACTTACAGGCTGGTCCAGTAGCCAAGAAGTGTCGTATAAGGTACTATAAAATGTTTCATTATCTTAAAGGTGGTTAAAATAGACATTCCTTTCTTCCTCTTTCATGCTTCCTTCTGCTTTTGACTGCTTTGTGTGGAGCAAAGTAGTCAAAGGTTATAACAGGAGTTGGAGAGTTGAGATTTGATGTACCTTGGTTATTCATTCTGATTGGCAGTGCTGATAAGACAGCCCATGGTTTTCTTTTGGAGCAGGGCCTAGGTGAGGAGAGGAGGAGACATTTACAAATCAGAAGATCAACTGTTGCGGGATTACAAAATCCTCGTCAACATGGCCAATAATCAGAAGGTTGAGAAAAATCTTGAGGGATCTAGATTCTTCTCAACCATAAGATGCTAAACCTGTCCCATGATTGAGGGGCTACAAAACTCATGACATGGTATGGATAACATGAACAAAAAGAAGCTGTTTCCTCCTTCCCCAATACTAGAGCCAGAAGAAAGAATCAGAATGAATCAGGATAGATAAAAGGATTTTTTTTCCCCTCACAACACCTCATTCAAATTCGAAATTCCTTACCATTAGATATGAAGCTGGCTACTAGATTGGCTGGCTTCCATAAAGGGGGCGTGGGGGGCGGGGACAATCAATTCACAGTAGTCCTGGGGATCAGTAACTACTGATGGCAGTGGGACTGCGCTAAAGGCCATCTCTTGGGGGCCACTGTGAAAACAAACCCCCAGATTAGATGGGCCGCAGTCTGATCCAGCAGGACACTAATTATATTCTCAATATTCTCATTGGGTTGCCTGTCTCTTCACTAAGATTAAATGTTTCGCTTAAAAAAAATGAAAACCACTTGCAGAATCTCACAGCCGAATACAGGTAGTCCTCAAATTAGGATCACAGCAGAGCCCAAAATTTCTGGAGCTAAGCAAGACAGTTGTTAACTGAATTGCACCCCAGTTTACAACCGTTTCGCCACATTTGTTAACACTGCAGTTGTTAAATGAATCATGCAGTTGTTAATTGAATCTGGCTTCACTCATTGCTTGTGGGAAGCTGGCTGGGAAGGTTGCAAATGGTGATCATACAACCCTGGGACAGTGCAACTGTCATAAATACAGGCCATTTATCAGGCGCCCGAATTTTGGTCACGATGCGGATGCTGCAACGATTATAAATGTGAAATCCAATCATGTCATTTTTTTCAGTGCTGTTATATCTTCAAATGGTCATTAAATGAATTGTTGTAAGTCAGGTCAACTTACAATTGTTGTAAGTAAGTCAACTACCTGTATTATAACCATCCTGCCTATGGATGTGATAAGAACTGTAGCTAGTTTTGAGGAACATGGGATAGGATGGAGTGAGTATACAGGATTGGCAGAAGAATCTATATAGTTTTTATTATTGGCTGACCAATAATATTTGTACCCAAAGCCAGACTAGAAATGTAACAGGCTGTTGTGTGAATCAGAGTTGTCCAATCTGCTGAGTCTAGATGTGTTGAACTGTAAATTCCAACATCCAGCAGCCACCCAGCCATGAACGATGGAAATTTTATTTAACTTGGAGGATATCAGCTTGAGGAATGCTGGTGTAGAAAGGACTGTTGTGGCCCACTGCAGCCAGCAGAGCTAGCAGCAGAGTCAGACAGTGAGGAGGTTGGGGAGGAACATGGACCAGTCCTGAGGGCTGAGAAAAGCTCAGACAAGGACTCTGCATCAGAGGCAGAGAGGAACTTAGACAGCAGCGAGGCAGAAGAGCAGCTGGAGCCTGTTCCCAGTGTGCGCATGCACAGAGATGCCAGAAGACAAGAACAACTAAGAAAGCAGGGTCAACTTAGGAGTAAAGCCACACCTTGGAGGTGATTGGCCCCTCCCAGAGGAAACAGAAGAGGAGGAAATGGGGAGTGGGCATTTGTAGGAAACAATTTGTTCATTCCGTTGTGTCAAGAGTGGAAAGTTTTGTTTGTGACTGTAAGAGATTCTGTGCCAAGTGTTCCTTTGCCCTGTATTTGGAAACTAGTTATCTGGCAGCTCTCCAAACAAGATAAGATTTGTGTTGATAAACATTCCTCTGAAAGACTGTTTGCTAAGCCTTGCTGACTGTGAATGAAAGGAATTCAGAGTTGTGTAAATGAAAGAGGTTTTGTCGGGACCAAAACTTAGAAAGCTTCTGGCTTTCTAAGGAAGCCTGGGTCAGAACAAGGACAAGCATATCTGTGATAATTGGTATTGTAGCTAATTAGCTAATTGCGACATGAATACAGAATTCAAATTAGACACTAATGCTGCTTCTCTTATCCTATATATATAGCAATGTCTGAAGCTCTTTTTACCTTACCCTGGAGATGCCGATCTGCTTGCTTAACAGTCTTGAGCATAAGGAAATACAAGCGTTTACAAGAATGTGAAGAAATGTACCAACTTGAGACTTTGAACTTCAAGTTTCTAGTCCTTTCCATCCAACCAACCGGTCATGAAGAGGAAAGGAGCCAGCAGCAGCACAGGAAATGATTGGTTTTCCAAACTGGACTTCATCTTGCTTGTATAAGCTGGATGTATTATTTGTTTATACTACTTTTCTGGAATTTGGGTTAGTTTGGGGGGTAATTATTTAAGGCAGCAGCAATTTATTTTCCAAATCTGGATGAAGGATACTTTAGAAAGCTTCAAATGGGAGGGCTTCCTTATTCCTTCTGTAGATATCAGGGTGAGGAGGAGTAGGAAAACCCTTTTTTGGTTTGGGGGACAGAGGGGCTCCATTGGATGTGGTTTCGGTGGCCTTTTGTGGGGGGAGAGTGGAGGTTCTAAGGATTAAAATGGGGGAATAGACTGCTAATCTAACCCTAACCTGTAATTATGGACTGGTCATTTTTGTCTTGAAAAATGGACTTGTATAAACCCTGGAAGAATATCTGCATTCTTCAGAAGACTTGCTGCCTTCCCTGTTCTGTTAACTATCACTGAGTTATTGCTAAGGCTCAGAGTTTACTCAGTCGTCCAGAAATTTTTTATTTCAATAAAACAGAGTATGTTTTATTTCCCTTTTTGTTTTCCTGTTGTCCTAAGATCAGTTGGAAATCTCCGCCCATTCATATTCGCTGGGGTGTAGTTCCCCTCAATCTATCCAGTTTGGTCCTTCTACCTGTGGCTCTGGTACTGGGAGTTCAGCAACAACAAATGTTACAGTATTAATTTCTAACTTTGCAGCTTGCCGGTCCATGAGAATTGATCCTCTCTAGGACTTCTTTTCTCTGAAAAAAGCAGGGAGGGGAGTGGTATGGAACCCTCGAGTGATCTCTATTTAAATCAGGTGGTTTTTGAAGAGGGGTGTCCATTGCTTTCTGGAAAGTACGTAAAAAAGAAAGGCATTCTCAACTTGAATAAAACACAGAAAATTCTTCAGTGCAGTTTTTTTGGGGTGGGAGCAGATGTGTAGCTAGGCAACCACATCTGTCTGAAGCAGCAGGGTTTTAATTGAAAAATGAGCTCTGACTGGTAGGCAGCTCACTGAACACCTTGCGCATAGACGTTGGTTGCACCACAGCTAAATTGTTAGATATATGAATATTTCGATGGTAAGGTACTCATTAGAGCCAAGGTGGCGCAGTGGTTAAATGCAGCACTGCAGGCTACTGCTAGATCAGCAGGTCAGCGGTTCAAATCTCACCGGCTCAGGGTTGACTCAGCCTTCCATCCTTCCGAGGTGGGTAAAATGAGGACCCAGATTGTTGGGGGCAATATGCTGACTCTGTAAACCGCTTAGAGAGGGCTGAAAGCCCTATGAAGCGGTATATAAGTTTAATTGCTATTGCTAGAAAAGAGGTTAAGTATAAATTACTGATAAGAGTAGCCGTCTTTTAGTGATTGCCTCATTTAGCTACTGTTCACCGTTAACTGATGAAAAAGTTACTTTGCAACCTCTCCTAGCATTTAGAATCTTTGCAGGTCTGTAAAACTGAGCAGAATTCATAAGCAGAGCAGTGGCGTCTCTTAGCTACTGCCTCACTTAATGACCAAGTAGCCAGTCCCCATTGTGGATGGTAATTGAGGAGATCTGTATTGTCAAAATCCAAAGTGCAGCTGTCTTCAGACTGATGTGACCAGGTGCAGTAAGTCTTTATCTGAAAAGTTTTTCAAATGTTGAGCATCAGGCACCGAGAGCCAAGGTGAGTTACGATGGGAGCAACCTCCAATTCATTTTCCTATCTACTGATCTGATTCAGAGGAGATGCTAAGCCAGGGCAAGGTTAGACATAGGGCGATGGGTGAATCTATTCTAGACCAGAGGTTTAACTCTAGTTACAGAATCCCTTAACCGGATTGTACCTGTGGTTTATAGTAGGCTTAGTTACCACGGTGTTAGTTTGCATATCATCTGAGGATGGATTAAAGGGATGGATGGCTTTTAATCTGGGCTAAACCTGTGAATGTAGGGGGGAGGGAAGGTGTGGCCTTGAAACAGGGCTGTGGCAATCATGGCTGCACCATTTCTCTTCCTCTGAAAGTATAGAAAGCAGTTGGGTGAGGCTCTTTGTCCGTTGACTCTAATCCTGATCAGGCCATTGGATTTTTAATTCTTTTTAATGAGACGTATCAAAAAAAAAATCCAGGAAGTATTCACTAACCCAAAGATTCAATATATATATATATTGTTAGTCAAATATGACTGGCTGTGGTTTGCTTGTGTTTCTGGGTCTGGTTTCTTAATCACTGTTAAGTGGTAGCTTAGACTATCATTTAAATATGGCGTGGAGTGATCCTGGATCTTTGTCAAGCTACAATATTGTTTGAGTCTGATGTTACATTGTGTGAATTCAGCCAGCTGTCAACCATGATTCAGAACATGATTCAACATGACGTATGAGCAGACTCACTGTTTAGAAAAACAGCAGTCTAAAGGATTAAAACAGCATTTTTTAAATTTGGCATTTTTAAGATGCGTTAACACATCTTAAAGTTGCCTAGTTTGAAAAACTCTGGATTATAAGGAAAGATCCCACATATGTCTTATATATATATGGACATATGAGGAAAGGTTGCAAGAATTGGGTATGTCCAGTCTAGTGAAAAGAAGGAGATGACATGATAGCAGCCTTCCAATATCTCGGGGGCTGCCACAAAGAAGAGGGAATCAACCTATTCTCCAAAGCACCTAAAGTCAGGACAAGAAGCAATGGATGGAAACTATCCAGAAGAGAAGCGACCTAGAATTAGGGGGAAATTTCCTGACAGGAAAATTAATCAGTGGAATGACTTGTGAGTGCTCCATCGTTGGAGGCTATTAAGAAGAAACTAGACAACCATTTGTTTAAAATGGTACAGGGTCTCCTGTTTGAGCAGGGTTGGACTAGAAGACCTCCAAGGTCCCTTCCAACTCTATTATTCAGAGTTTTTTTATGCAAAGAGTTCCCTAGGGAGCACTAAACACAGTTATTGGATGCAAATATCACTTCCCCAAATATAGTTTATTTTTTGATACAAGTCTTATAAAAAACACAAGTGTATAGAGCAGTTTAAAAGGAAACAAGCATCTCATTAAAATAAGCTTACTCATATCTATATTTAAATACAAGCTGCGGTTGAAGACTTCCACTTCAACATTATTCACTCATTTTTCTCATCCACACCTCAAGAAAATACCCAAAAGCCTTCCTTGGCTGTTTGCTACCGTTCCAGCCTTCTCCAGAAGGCAAAATATTTCTTGCTGTGGTTTCCTTTTTCCCAGATAAATATGATATGCCTTTGCTTTAGATCAGGGTTTCCTCCTAAGCCATTTTAAGACCTGTGGACTTCAATTCCCAGAATTCCCTAGCCACCACTGACAACCAGAATCATTCCACAACATTCCTAGGCTAGGGAATTCTGGGAGTTGAAGTCCACAGGTCTTACAGTGGCCAAGACTGGGAAACAAGATGAATGCTATAATTCAATTATGTACAACGGACCTTTAAATGTAACGTAGCAGTTCCACTAGGCCTTTATTGTGAAATGCCGTCAAATCGTCCACAGTGGTTCTAAAAGCTGTTTAGGTGGCTTCAGAATATTTACCTCACAAATACCTTGCATTTCTTCTATAGATCTCAAGTGTCTTCTTAGAATCTGAATACTGGTGCGCTAAACTCTGGTGGATTTCTCCAGCAGATCCCACTTGAGAGTACAGGTAGCCTTTGCTTAGCGATCACAACTGGGACCAGCTACTCTGTCACTAAATACCTGGTCACTAAGTGAAACATAATCATTTTGGACTGGCTTCCACTACGGTTGTTAAGCAAATCACCGCAATCATGAATTGGAACCTCATGTGACTGTGACTTCTGATTTCACTGCCTTCTGCATTGTCTGCTTACCACAAGGTAGTTGCGGAGCACACAAATGTCGGCCACAGCCCTGCGGGATATTGTCATGGTCGAAAACATCCGCCCCCCCCGCACTG